AACTATTATTAAAATAAATTACATTCCTTATTTAAAAAGCCATAAGTAAAGAAATACCAGATTGAAAAGGTAGGGGTCTTTGAAAAAACAAAAACAGCCAAAACTGTGAACATGTCTAGCATTTAGATATTGAGATTTCACAACCATTAATAGGATTTCAATTATTAACCAATGAACAAACAAGAGACAGTGTCTGTGTTAGACACATTCCAAACTTTTATATTTTACAAACAGAAGGTATATTCTTATATTAACTCAGTATGCTGCACAATAATAAAGGCTACAGATAACTCCACAGTCAAAAAACCTGTAACAGTTGTCTATGATTATTTCCTCACTTATGTCTCATCAAATACTAAAAATCAGTTTCTATTCCCTGAGTACCAACTGGCTAGGGAATAAGAGAAAGCAGCAAAGTAGACAATTCCCTGACATAAAAATGATAATTTTTTATTTAATTTAGGCTCCTGGATTCTCTTTATAACAGCTAGTATCAAGGAATGAAAATGCTAGTTTACAAAACTGTTTCTTAAAAACCTGTTGACTGAGCCCTGGCTGGTAAATCAGTTGGTAGGGCAGTGGTAGGCAAACCGACTCGAGAGCTGGCAAAAGCCAGCTTAGGAGTACCCTAATTAAGTTAATAACAATGTACCTACCTATATAGTTTAAGTTTTAAAAATTTGGCTCTCAAAAGAAATTTCAATCGTTGTACTGTTGATATTTGGCTCTGTTGACTAATGAGTTTGCCAATGACTGGGTTAGGCATCATCCTGATACACCAAAGTTGTGGGTTCGATCCCAGGTGAGGGCACATACAACAATCAGCCATAAGTGGAATAAATCAATATTTCTTTCTCTAAAAATAATTTTAAAACATTTTTTAAACTTGTCAATTGAAAAATCCAACAGTTTGCCTCCCATCCTCCCTCCCTATAAATTCAAGATGTTGTTTATTCCTACATTAAAGGATAATAGGAATTACATCTAAATATTTAGAAAATGTTCATTTATTTTGAAAGTAATAATCAATTATATTGGCTCATTATTCATAAGCATTAGTCCCTAGTCTTAGTACTTTTTTACAAGTAACCTGGTTCAAGATTTTTCAGTTACCCATTCAGGGCACACAAAAAAGAATACTTTTCTTCCAAACAATACAACAACCTGATTAAGAAAATCAAGGTGCTATTCAATGCAGCTCAAGGTGACTATGTCCACAGGTTAAAATAAAATTATTCTGTTTGTGAACAAGATTCTCTCCAACAATGCATAAGAAAAAAATGGATCTTAATTTTATTCTTAACTACCCAAATTATGACAATTGGGGACAATAATTTTCCTAAAATAGTATTTTCCAAGTTTGTTTTTACCCATGGGTTAGTAAAGTGGTCGGCAAACTCATTAGTCAATAGAGCCAAATATCAACAGTACAATGATTGAAATTTGAGGGCCAAATTTTTTTAAATCTATTTTTTACAGAGAGGAAGAGAAAGAGATAGAGAGCTAGAAACATCAATGTGAGAGAATCATTGATCAGCAGCCCCTACTGGGGATGTGCCCACAACCAAGGTACTACATGCCCTTGACCAGAATCGAACCTGGGACCTTTCAGTCTGCAGGTGGACGCTCTATCCATTGAGCCAAACCGGTTTCGGTGAGAGCCAAATTTTTTAAACTTCTTCTAACTTTTTCAAAATAGATTCAGCCAGGCAGTGGTATTTGTGGAAGAGACACACTCAAGGGGCCAAAGAGCTCGCAAGCCACAGTTTGATGACCACAGGGTTAGTAAGTTGAAAAAACATGGTTAAATTAATCCTGGCGAAGAGGGTAAACAAGTTTAAGGGTTGCCTTTTTCCCACAGGGCATCAAAGCCTTTAGCACTCACATCTACTGTCATCTTCAAGCAGAAGAGTAGCACATCACATTTTCCAAACTTGTTCGAGTGGAATATTTCTGCAGAGTATCTTGCAGGATACAATTTGGGAAATGTTACTCTAGAATCCGATGGAGTCCATTTCCATGACATATCTAAGCCTTTATCTATAACCTAACTATAGAAAATCTCTTCTAAAATTATAACTGACAACAGTTGTTCCTACCGCAGATCTGCCTACCACAAAGTACATCCACAATTAACCAGTGAATAAGGATCATATAATCATAAGACTGAAATGTCGGGAATTAGTACTGATTGTGGGGATTTAGTACTTCTCTGTTCATTAGCAACAGAAAGCCTCCTTTGACAATGTCCTAGCTCCAGTTATCCGGGACTAAGCCTCCTGGAATCTTCTCTCCACAAAACAATTCTAGATTCACAGAAGAGCTGTGCTTTAAAAACTTAAGCATACTAAACCAAAACTGTGACCCTTAGTTCTCCTAAATTCAACAGGTAACTACCAAATTATTGACATTCATGAATACTGGCAAGAATGAGAAAATAGTAAATAAAAAATATAATCCATATAAAGTAGTTTTTATATGAATAGGTTTCTAATATATGATTTATTAAGACTAACAAAGCTAAAATACCACTGGGTTCCTTCCTACTGTTTTTCCACCTTCAAAATTATTAGGGATTTTGTCAGTGAGGATAAGAAATCAGATTAGTTCCTTATTTCTTAGGTCATCTCATTGATTAGTCTGGGATGGCCTTGCTTTTCCAAAAAGAGGTATTTACACACTTGGAAAGGCCAAAATTATGCTGTATCTACAATGCACATCAGACTAATAGGAATACTGCTTATCCCTATAAAAATAATCACAGAAAGCACCCTTTTGTGCCACTAGGTGGCAACCTTACAAGGGCTTAAATTTAAAACTTCTTGACTGCAACCCCACCCTCTTTCCAGCAAGGGTTCCTTTTATTTGATATTAAGTCAGACTTAAAAAGTTATTTAACAAGATTTTTTAAAAGTTCTACAAAACAATATGATGTAGCACTGCACACTCCTGACTCAAAACTCTTTAAAGGTAGACATACTTGTCTTCCATAGACATGAAAGAAATTTGGTCTAGCATTCTCATTTGCTTCTGTTAGGAAGCATTATTTTTGGCAAAGAGAAACATGTCAAGGTTTAATCATTTTTTGTTTTCAAGAGCTTAATCTTTTCTAGGTTAAGTCAGGTGAATCACAACATGCTGTAGAAAACAAATGAATAAATACAAATTAGGTAAGTTATACATAATTTTAAAATTAATTACCTTTACTAAAACAAAATATAATTAATAAGCTATTATCTATCCTACTGTATATAGGTGTGTGTGTGTGGTTTTTTTTTTTTTTTTTTTAAATAACAACCTGGACAAAACAAACAAAAGCCTTTTTGGGTTCCTTTAAAAAGCTTTGGTGAGTGAACAACATATATATTTATACAAGAGATTTTTTTTTTTTTTTAATGTTTACAGCTTCCCTGCCCTAAAAAGTTCAACAATGAAGGTTACAGCCTATCAAACTCTGGAGTTACATAAAAGCCCTTAAGCCCAGAACAGCATTTTCAAATAGGATTTAAAGTCTAAACCAATCAGCCACTAAGGATCATATAATACAATAAACAAAGACAATGGTGACCAGGAAAAGTGAAGAAGTGGGTGGTTGCAATGACAAACTTCCCCTGAAGAATTAACATGTGGGATGCAACACACACGCACACCTTACCAACACACACACACACACCTTACCACCACACATAATAAGAGATCAACGTTCTCTTTTAAGGAACTGAAGATATTCTCCTTTGTTTCATGTAACTGTCAGTTTTATCATGCTCAGTAAAGTACAAAAATAAATAAAACCAAGAAGAATTCAGAAGGGTTGGTTTTAAAGGCATGTTTTAAATGATATGTTTATGACAAAAGTTGTTGCAATTCCAGATGTTCCAATATTGAGTAGAACCTTGACGGCTCTTAAAATAAGTATATTATTCGTGGACATTCTATCATAAAATTGTAGTATGCAAATTGTCCTCATGACCAGGTGGTCATCTGGGAGTTCAACCAGGGGGCAGAGCGGGCTGGGGGAAGGAAGGGAGGCCCTGGCCAACAACCAGCAGCTACTAGGGACCCTACCAGTGCACAAAATTCATGCACTGGGCCTGAATTTCTGGTCTTAAGATAAAACATCTAATTGGTTACAGTTATTTTTAAGAAACCAGGAAATCATGGTTACTGTTTCAGGACCACAGCCTTTCTGTCAAATACTAGGCAAAAATTCCTAGAACTTGACTTCTGAAATTTTGGGGGCACCCTTTTAAGATTTCAATATTTAAATACTATTTTACAAATGGTTGTTTTATTTATCAATCATGTGCAAAAAGAATGGTGCAGCCCTGGCCAGTGTGCTCAGTAGTTAGAGCATCAACCTGTGCAACATAGGGTTGGGAACTTGATTCCAGATCAAGGACAGATACTTGGGATCCTGATTTGTTCCTCACAGCATGTTTAAGAGGCAACCAATGGATGTGTCTCTCTCACATCTATGTTTCTCTCTCTCCCCTTCTCCCTTCCATTCTCTCTATGGGAAAAATGGAAAAAATATCCTCACTACTTGGATGAGGTTTTAAAAAAGAAAAGAACTGGTAGCATAAACATATCTTCAAGCTTACTGAAATTTTACGGTAGTTAACTGGATTTACCTACACTAAAGGGTAAAGCAAAGAGGTGCTGCCAAACCGCCCTCTGACTGAGATGGTTCACCAGTGAAGGTGTATTAATCATCTGTAGTGAATTCACAATTTTAATTAACGATCTTCATCAGTGTTCACCTAATAATGATACTGCATATATGAATTTATCATAGACAAAACAGAATTACAGATTTCTACAGATAAATAAAATGTCAGACTTTTGTTTTCATAATTTCAATGGCATTGAGTGTCCTCTGGCAATATTCATGTCTGCCAATCAGCATTTTAGAGTATGTGTACACATAAGTAAAATAATAATTTAAAGAATACATGTGATTTTCACAGTGCAACAGAAAGATATAAAGTAGTGAAAAATCATCAACGAGCTAAAGTAGTGATCAGACTGGCACACATTTCAAAAAAATCCATGGTGTGGCTGCCCAGGCGAGGTGTAACTGAGGACAGTGTGCTTCCAGTCAAGGAGCCAGTGAGGGAGCCCGACAATGAATGGCTCTCAGCAGTCACAGAATCAAAACTTGATCTGGGTCTATGTAAGCCAGCAGTAGAACAGGAACGCTGAGGTGTTGAGGAACCAGACCTCTGCTCCAGCACTTCATCTGAAATGGACCAAAGCAGAGCAATTTATCAGAAAGGTATACTTGCCCCAGCCCTTCTTATGAAGATGCTATCATGAAAGAATTAAGTAAGTAAACACATCTGGGAAAAGGTGACTAAATAATAAATGTGATATTTCAGTGTTTCAGGAACAAGTAACCTCTTCTCTTACCAACAAGCATAACAGACATCACTAAATAATCACAACACTTCCATACAGTCAAAATGGGACCCCTATATCCTTGCATGTGAAGAAAGCGCATCCTGAAGGGTTATTTTCTTGTGGTGTATCAACAAAAAGTCATTAAGATAAAAATAAAAGTAACCATTACACAGTGGTTCTGAACCTTTGGTACACAATTAAATTGCTTGGGGTTAGGGGCAAGGAAAATCTTTTTAAAAATGAAGATCATACACCATGACTAAGTGGAATTTATTCCAGGGATGCAAAGCAGGTACAATATTTGCAAATCAATAAATGTGATACATCACTTAAACAAACTGAAAGACAAAAATCACATAGTCATAATCAATAGATGCAGAAAAAGCATTTGACAAAATGCAACACAATTTTCGATTAAAAAAAAATACTCTCAGCAAAGTGGGAATAGAGGGATCATATCTCAACATAACAAAGGCCATATCAGACAAACCTACAGCCAACCTCATACTTAATGGGCAAAAACTAAATCCATTTCCCCTAAGAATAGAAACAAATAGGGATGCTCACTTTCATCACTCTTATTTAACAGAATACTGAAATGCTAGCCACAGTTATCAGAAAAGAAGAAAACACAAAAGGCATCCAAATTGGAAAGGATGACATGATATTGTACACAGAAAACCCTAAAGACTCCACTAAAAAAACTACTAGATTTAATAAAGGAATTCAACAATGTATACAAAATTAACACCCAGAAATCAATGGCATTTTTATACACCAATAACGAATTCTCATAAAGAGAATCTAAACAAACAATCCATTTACCATACCAACAAAAATTTAAGATGCTTAGGAATAAACTTTACCAAGGAGGTAAAAAACTTATACTCGGAAAACTACAGGATGTTATAAAAAGAGATAGAGGAAGATATAAACAAGTGGAAGAATATACCATGTTCATGGATTGGCAGAATCAACATTAAAAAATGTCCATATTATCCAAAGCAATCTATAGATTCAGTGTAATCCCTATTAAATTACCAATGGCATATTTCACAGATCTAAAACAAGTACTTCAAAAATTTATATGGAACCAAAAAAGACCCTGAATAGACACAGCAATCTTAAGAAGAACCAAGTTGGAGGGATCCCAATACAAAATATCAGGTTATACTACAAAGCCACTGTACTCAAAACATCCTAGTATTAGTACAAGAACAGAAATATAAACCAATGGAACAAATCAGCGACCTCGGAAATCAACCCAAGACATTGAGCTCAATATTTGAAAAAGGAGGCAAGAGCATACAATGGAGTCAAGAAAGTCTCTTCAATAAATGGTGTTGGGAATATTGAATGGATACATGCAAAAAAATGAAACTAGATCATCAACTTATACTATACACAAGAATAAACTCAAAATAAATAAAAGACTTAAATATAAGATATGAAACCATAAAAATCCTAGAAGCATAGGCAGCAAAATCTCAGATATCTCTTGTAGCAATATGTTTGCAGATACATCTCCTAGGTCAAAGGAAACTAAGGAGAAAATAAACAAATGGGACTACATCAAAATAAACAGCTTCTGCACAGCAAAATAAACCATCAACAAAATGAAAAGGGAGAACATATTTGGCAGACATTTAATAAAGGGTTAATATCCAAAATATAAAAGGAACTCATAAAACTTAACAAAAGGAAGACAAACAAACCAATTAAAAAATGGGCAAAGGTAGTAGCACAATTTGCAATAGCTATTGCAATTTACAAAAATAGACCCTAAGATAGAAGTATTGAACAGACTGTCAAACCTCAAAAGGAAGGCAGGGGAGGGTGAGGGGTGGGAAGATATAAACCAATGAACTCATATCTATATATGCATAATCCATGGACACAGACAATAGGGTGGTGAAGGCCTGAGGTGGGGTGTGGAGGCAGGGTGGGAGAGGTCAATGGGGGGAAAAAGGGGACATAGTTAATACTTTCAACAAGGGGATGAAAAAATAATACTATATTGTTTTCTCAAAGCAGTCATCAATATTGGTTTTTAAAATACTTCCTAATTTGAAAGACCAAAAATATCCAGTGTTTTATTTTCCATTATTTCATTAGTTTCGAAGATGGTCACACACACACACACACTCAAAGAGCGCAGAACCTAAACAGAACCTTCTCCAACGGGGACATACAGATAGCCAAGAGACATATAAAAAACACACACAAACCTCGGTGGACCAAATATTCCCATTGTCTATTAAAACGACAATGATGTATCACCTCACACCTGTCAGAATGGCTATCATCAACAAATGACAAGTGCTGGGAAGGATGTGGAGAAGAGGGAACCCTAGTACACTGCTGGTGGGAATTCAGACTGGTACAGTCATTATGGAAAAGAGTATGGCATTCCCTCAAAAAATTAAATATGAAATTGCCATTTGACCCAGTGATCACACTTCTAGGAATATATCCTAAGAAACTGAAAACACCAATCAGAAAAAAAAATGTATGCACTCCTATGTTCATAGCAGCACGATTTAGAATAACTAAGATCTGGAAATAGTCCAAATGCTCATCAATAGGTAAGTGGATAAAAAAGCTGTGGTACATTTAAACTATGGAATACTATGCAGCAATAAAAAGAAGGATCTCTTACCCATTGAGACACATGGAGGGACCTTGAGAGTATTATGCTAAGCAAACTAAGCCAGTCAGAGAAAGACAGTATCACATAATCTCACTCATATGTGGAATCTAATAAACAATATAAACTGTTGAACAAAATAGATCTAGAGACATAGAAGCATGAAACACACTTCAAATCTCAGAAGGAAGGGGCTGGGTGGGTGGTGGGGGATTGGAAAGAGATCAAGCAAAGAACTTGATGCATATATGCAATAACTCTTGGACATAGGCAATAGGGTGTTGAAGGCCTGAAGTAAAGGGTGGAGGGTGGGCTATAAGGTCAATGGGATAAAAAAGGAGACATATGTAATATTTTCAACAATAAAGATTTTTAAAAATCTTTTTAAAAATTTAGATTTCCATCCTAGTCAGTTTGGCTCAGTGGATAGAGCATTCATTGGCTCTCACTGAAAGGTCCTGGTTTAGATTCCAGTCAATCTAATGCAGGATCAATCCCTGACCCAGTCAGGGTGTGTGCAGGAGGCAACCAATTGATGTGTCTCTCTCACATGGATGGTTCTCTGTCTTTCCCCCTCCCTTTCACTCTCTCTAAAAAATAAAATAAAGGAAAATATCCTTGGGTAAGGATTAACAACAACAACAAAAAAAAACAGATTCCTAGTTTCCCATCTCCAGAGATTCTGGATTAGTAGGTCTGGGGACAGTTCCCAAGAATCTGCATTTTAATAAGAGTTCTGAATAATTTTTATAAAGGTGGTCTAGGGACATATAAACACTGCTATAGTTGATGGTATTTCAAAAACAAAATTTGAAAGCTCTGATTAAATCAACTTCCTATATCTAAACTCTCCTATTCCTTTTGGCTCCTGACTGTTGTTTTTCTCTGTTGTTATCCTACTTTGGTCTATAAATGAAATAAGCACATTTGGTCCACCCAGGTTGACTCTTGATGCACACTGAATATCTGGAAAGGACCTCCTTCCCTGGCTCCTTTGGCTCCTGGATTGCCAGGGGCACTGAAATCTAACCTAAATCTCAGTAGAGGCCTATTTGGTCACCTTGGCAATCAGGTTGAGAGAAGCTAATGAATGCAAGTTTAGATATTGTAATGCTAACAGTAATGAATTATGAATGAGGAAATGAGATAAAGAACCTGACAACATCAGCTAACTTTAGGTAAAAATTGCTTTTCTGATTTTTGCTCCACAACTAATACGTTGAATGACTTTTTTATGGCAAGGAAGTACTTCTATTGGAGAGGTGCTGGGTTAGAGATATTCCATGTGTCTTTGATCCTCTTCATATCACTGACATTTTTAGCTAAATCTAGATTACTTAAAAACCAGTATAAAAGACCTACCCACCATGCCTTTGAGATGATTTTAACATCTTGTCAACTAGTGCCAAGTTTTATCTTCTCAGAGCTCATGCCTGCATAGCTTCCTTACCATCAATGCTTTTAAAGTCCAAAAGATAACTTCTATTGTCAACCAGGTAAAGCTGTAAGCTCATTTTCACATAATTGCCAGTCACTGGGTTTTTTCTCCTTACACGAAGGTGGTATGCGTTCACTACCTAAAACAAGAAATCTTTGTGAAGGAAAAATGTTAAAATTAACAAACTATAAAATATCTCCCTATTCTTATTGCAAAAATATAAAAATGAATCACTGATAGAAGTGAGATAGAGAAGAAATTACCAGATGATCCTTCTGTACATTACACTAGTAGCCCTGCGCAGGAATCCATGTGCCAGTAGCTTGTAGCCAGTATCTCACTGCCACCCTTCAATAACTCTCTCTCCCCTTCCCGTCCGCCCCCCATAGCCTGCTCCCCTGCCCTCCACTGCCTGCTTATAGCTTGCTGATCCATGATCTGATTGTTACATGGTCAGTCATTAGGTTTCACAGAATGACCATTTGCATATTATAACTTTATTATATAGGACTAGGGGCCCAGTGCACAAAACTCGTGCACGGGAGGGGGGTGTCCCTCAGCCCAGCCTGCATCTTCTCCAATCTGGGATCCCTCAAGGGATGTCTGATTGCCCATTTAGGCCCAATCACACCAGGCAGTCAGACATCCCTCTCACAATCCAGGACTGCTGGCTCCAACCCCTCGCCTGCCTGCCTGCCTGCCTGCCTGCCTGCCTGCCTGCCTGCCCCTAAGCTACTTCAGCCTGCCAACCTAATCAACCCCTAACCACTTCCCTGCCAGCCTGATTGATGTCTGTTCCCCTGCTGGCCCAATTGCCCCTAACTGCCCTCCCCAACCAGCCTGATTGCCCCCACCTGCCCTTCCCTGCATGTCTGATCCTCCCCCCTAAGTGCCCTACCTACCCTGCAGGCCTAGGTCGCCCCCAACTGCCCTACCCTGCAGGCCCAGGTCGCCCCCAACTGCCCTCCCCTGCAGGCCTGGTCACCCTCAACTGCCCTCTCCTGAAGGCCTGATTGCCCCCAACTACTCTTCCTTGCAGGCCTGGTCCCTCCCAATTGCTCTCCCCTGCCGGCCATCTTTGACCACATGGGGGCAGCCATCTTGTGTGTTGGAGTGATGGTCAATTTGCATATCACCTCTTTATTAGATAGGATGGTAATTTAGTATTTTTAATCATCACTAACAATACTGTTTACAGCAATTAAAAGTCAAGGAAACTCAGAGATTATAGTCTAGCTTTCATTCTATATGCCTCACTCAAATAATTTTGGCTGCCCAGCCTCAACTTAAATATTTTTACCTATAAATATGGAATAGAAGAAATAAAGGGAAACTAATGTGTTAAGGTTTGTATTAGGCATTGTAACAGATATTGTCATAAAATTTTAATATCACAAAAAATCCTGTAAAAAAGAAAGATATTATCTGTCTCTGAAGATAAGAAAACTGCAACTCAAACATAGAAAATTCTGGCTTTGCAAAACATCTATCAAATAAGTTACAAAATTTTTTTGGTAAAGAATTTAAAGATATTAACATCTCTTTTTTTTTAAACTGACTAAATTATAACTGCTTCAGAAAAGAGAGGTTTGAGTTTTAAATGGGTTTAAGGAAATATTTTATCTATGCTTTTCACATACAAATAATGAAATCAAAATGACTGAATAAGTGAATATTTACATGGTAAGTGAATATTTACATGGTATGTTTGAATGTTTTTCTTCCACCTTTAAATATATATTCACAGTCCTCAACAAAGGAACAAGAGTTAAAAGCATACCTGGAATTAAAAAATATATATATACTTTTCTTCCCAACAAATAAATAGAATTGAAATGAATTTGAGCACATATATTTTTAAAGAGAAAATGTGGGCTGAGAGTAAAAATACATTTCATAATTAAGGATTGAAAGCACTAATCAAGTAAGAGAGGTTTTTCTCAACTTAGAGAAAAGTGTTTGTTGACTGAATAAATATACCCTACGCATTGACCACTAGCTGCTACTGATACTAACAAAAAGAGAAACCCTGCCTAAAAGGGGAGAGAGAAATATAAACCATATGTATCTTTGAAGACATATGAATTTTTATTGCTATAATGAATGCTGAAACTTTGCCAAAAATACTATATTGAAATTCAAAAATACATCAACATAGTTCTTCCTTACAAAGATTTGTCTTGTTTTGAATGTACATGGTATATAATTGCAAGGATAGCAGTTATAGCCAAAAGCATCAAGATTAATAAATTTCTATCTAAATAAAAAGTAATGCTTTAACTCAGCAGTTGACAGCAGTTTACTATACTAAAAAAAAATGGCTTCTACAAATGATCTTTTTATACAATTTCCTACCTTCCATTCAAAATCCAGCTGCTTCATAGCTCGGTAAACTTCAGCCATAATGTCATATGGTTTGCTTTGACTTCGGATTCCAAGATGCCACTTGGCTTTCTTTACAGCCAAAGATTTGGGCTTAGTTGTATTCAGGGCATCCAATGGACATCTTGCTTTAGGGCTGTCTGCTATAAGAGGTGGCATCCTTTCTGGATGAGGTTTCAGGCCTGGAGGAATATGCATGGCACTATCATCCATAAAGGAACCCGTTGGGGGACTAGAGGCGAGGTAGAACTCACTGGCTTGGTTCATTATTCTCCGATTGTCAATAATAAGATGATAGGCCACTGCAAGCTGGTCTTGAGGGTCACCACTATATAGACTGTTCATTACTTCTGATTCTGTACACTCAAATTTTTCACACACTTCTTTCACAGCCTCATCATCAATGACGTTAGCATCATAGGAGGGGTCTTCAGGAAATAAGTAACTGGGCAAATCTTGTTTAAACCATTCATGCTCTCTAGGAAAAACACCACAATAATACACTATTATAAGAACATGCTTTGGCAAGTCCCAAATAATTTATACATGTGTAACACAATATAACAGAATCAGAAATACCTAGTCACTTACTACCTATGTGATCCTGGGTGAGTTAAATAACCTTTACCCTTAAAAAAATATGGTTTTTTTCAGACTTGGTATTTGGCTGACATTTTCTCAAAAATAAACAAAATGAACCTGTCACTGTGAAGGAGACAACTGGAAGTATTTGATGTCAATGATAAAATTCAAGCTCTCAAGCAAAATTTTAGAATTTTGTGTTATTTGCATCTGTGTCCATAAGTTTGAAAACTTCCCAATACTTAAAGACCTGTCACTTTTCTGATAACTTAGTAGTGATGATGATGATAATCTATACTAACAAAAGAGTAATATGCTAATTAGACCAGGAGACCTTCCAGACATCCTTCCAAAGTTGGGGCTTGGCCAGCCTGCAAACTGCCCCCAAATAGCCCTCAGCCCCTCACCCAGGCTGGCACACCCTCCAGTGGGGACCCTCACCCCAATGGGGGTGTGGCAAGCCTGCAAACAGCCCTCAGCTCCTCACCCAGGCTGGCCCCACTCCTAACAGAGACCCCCACCCCACCTCACCCAGATAGGGGTGTGGCTGGCCTGCAAACCACCCCAGCCCCTCTCCCAGGTTGGTCCCACCTTCCCAAGGGGACCCCCCCACCCTGATCTGGGACAGGCCAGGCAGCTCAAAGGGTAAATGCTAATTAAACCGAACATCCTTCTGGGCAAAGCCATGGTTGGGGGGAGGGGGGGACCCGCAAGGCAGAGGCAGTTTGGGTTGATCAGGATGACAGGGGGATTAGAGGGATCAGGCAGGCAGGGGAGAGCAGTTAGGGGGGTCAGGCCCAGGGGGAAGGGCAGTTAGGGTGATCAGGCTGGCAGGGGAGAGCAGTTAGGGGGATCAGGCTGGTAGGGGAGAGCAGTTAGGGGGATCAGGCCAGCGGGGGAGAGCAGTTAGGGAGATCAGGCTAGCAGACAGGTGAGCGGTTAGAAGCCAGCAGTCCCAGATTTTGAGAGGGATGTCTGACTGCCAGTTTAGGCCAGAAACCGGCAGTTGGATATCCCCCAAGGGGTCCTGTATTAGAGAGGGTGTAGTCCGGGCTGAGGGACACCCCCTTTCCGTGTACAAATTTCGTGCACTGGGCCTCTAGTTTTTAATAAAGGCAAGTTTTCAATGAGCTTGTTTGTACTTTAAAAATAAATCAACCAATAAATGCCTAAGTGGAACAATATATTGTCTTTCTCTCTCTCTTTCTCTCCTTCTCTCTCTTTTTCTCTCCCTCTAAAAAAAAAAAAAAAAAAAAAAGAATTCCTACATATTACAAAACTGAAACTGAATTTGGGTAAATAAGAAAATGATGAAAACTACTAATTCAAGTTGCTATATTATTTTATATTTTATATTATTTTAAGTACAGAAATGAATGCCACGATTTTATACCACCTACATCCAAGTATATTTTTTACTCACATTTTTCTCCTAAAGCCTCTGTTTTAAAATAACAGAATCAATATTTTATTCTCTAATTTTCTTTCTAAGGAAAAACCAATTAAATGAATTATATATTCTAAAGAATTATGAACCCCAAAGGTTTTTCCCCCACTAAGTTCATTTCCATAACTAAATCCTGTCTAATTTAGTTTTACATGTTTATGCATGAGGCCTGGAACAGTGAAGAAAGGCTAGGAAAGAAAATAGTACAGGAAAACAAAAGAATCAGTTCTTGATTTAGTCAGGGAAACAACTACTTCAGCTATCATTTAAATGTTCCAAGAGTCATGGGTCTCTAAACAGTCATTCCAGCTCATGAAGAGGAGAAGGATTCTGGAAAGATGTCAAAAGAACATATTCTTAAGAAAATACCTGAAAAAAATGTTAGGTGAGAACAAAATACCTCTAAGACACATGACAGAGAGGTAAAACTGGAGGCAATGAGTTATCCTGGCTGGTGTGCACTATATACCAGTAAAGGTCCCATTCGCAGTAACACCAGCAACCACACTTTCCAAAGTTTCTCACACAAGAAATTCTTCATAGCAAGCCATTAGCAGCTATTTTTTAAATTCAAAGTCTTAGCAAAACTTCTTTTCTTTATTTCATCAACCACATGTCAAATACATGTCTAACCCTGTTTTTCCATTAGAAATGTATTTAAAGACTTTCTTAGCATACTAAAGGCCTGGTGCACAAATTCGTGCACAGGTAGGGTCTGACATTGCCATTCCCCATGGGGGGTGATTTCGGGCCAGGCTGGTGGGGAGGAGGGGCCATGGCTGGGGGCAGGGGCTGCCCTCCAATTGTTGGCTGGCCACAGTGTGCATCATAGTGACTGGTTATTCCAGTCATTCCGGTCATTCCAGCGTTCTGGTCATTTGGCTTTTCTATATAGAGATATTATATCCCAGGCATCCTACAAAGATGAGGAAGACACTCTCTATACCATCACTTAGTTACAATTTAAGAGAGAGAAAGATACACTGAAAAAAAGTTCCATACAAAATGAGAAAGAGCTGAAACCAGTTTGGCGCAGTGGATAGAGCATCGGTTTGCAGACTGAAAGGTCCTGGGTTCAATTTCGGTTAAGGGCATGTACGTTGGTTGTGGGCACATCCCCAGTAGGGGGTGTGCAAGAGGCAGCTGATCGATGTCTCTCTCTCAACAATGTTTCTAACTCTCTATCCATCTCTCTTCCTCTCTGTAAAAAATCAATAAAGTAATTTTTTTTTAAATGAGAAAGAATAAAAGCATGAACAAAATAAAATGAAGAAAGCACAGAAGTGGAAGCACTGACAATGCCTGGAGAAATCAGCAGTGGTTTCAAGGGAGGTGATATGTGAGCAACATTTTAAAGGATAAACAAAAATCTATCAGGTCAAAAAAGGCAGAAAAGACATCAGAGGCAGAAGGGGTCATATAAACAAAGACATGAAAGCATAAAATATATTTGCGGGACAAGTGGACTTTCAACGTGGCTAAAGCCCTGGTACAAGAAGTGTAATAGTGAGTGCAGGAAATGAGACTTTAGAAGAAGTGAGGAGAGCCTTACTATGAAGGCCTAGTATGCTACCTAAGCTAAAAAGCTTGGGAAACAATCTGAAATATTTAAAAGATGAGTGCTATGATCAGATTTGTGAATTAAGGGAAGTAAAATTTATATCAAGTGTTATAGAGCTCAGGATAAAGAAGGCATTCAATTATTAGTACGAGTGTTCTACAATACTAGAATATATACATAACAATAGCAAAAATAGATTCACCTTATGTCTTTGATAGTTGCTCGTTTCAGGGGATCAACCTGCAGCATATGCATCAGGAGAGTGGCGACAGAACGATTGAGGTATTCTGGGATATAAAAAACACCCCCTCGGATCTTCTTAAATAATGTAGGCACATGCTCATCATCAAACGGAAGGGTGCCACAGAGAAGAGCATACAGAATAACACCACAGCTCCAGATGTCAACCTCAGGACCTGCATACAATCTAAGAAAAGAGATGACAACACAAACCTGAAGTACAAGTGTCGCTTTCTCACCTATAGGTACCCTGCCTCTATAGCCCTACACATAGTATGGACTCGGTAAATATTGCTTTCAAGGTCTTTACTGAAGTCCATGGCCACTCTTCAACACTCACCACCCATGGAAAATAATTAATTAGTCTAACCAATTACTATTCAAGTTTCCCAAAAGAAAATAGTATTTTTTTTTTTTTGGCACAAACGTATTTCACTGAACTTATTAATCGACTCATTAAAAAATATAAAACTTTCTATGTTTTCTTTTTTAATAGAAACAACAAAGAAGATGACTATAAACTTGGGGAGAAAAAAATCCCACAATACTATATAATGTATAGGCTAAATCTTTTTACCATGAATCTATTACAAGAAAGAAAATGTGTATGTAACAGAATCTCATTCCTGGCACACCTATTTTAAAGGATATGTGAGACAGTAAAGTGCCTAACTAGTTCTGTGGCAATGTCTCTGACAGTATTTGTCCTGCATCACATTATCTTGAGTACCCAATGTCTTTCTTTCTAACCATTTGCCAGCTTATGGGACTAAGATTAGCTTTGCTCCAGAAAAACTATACCTACAAGGTTTTTCCTCTCACCTGTATACAGTATTAAAATTCCCCTGCTAGCACATTACCAAACTCAAACCTGGGTCTGAGGTAACAAAGTAAATCTCTACAATTCCAATTTAAAAAGGAATATAATCTGCCCTACCTGGTTTGGTTCAGTGGGTAGAATGTCAGCCTGCAGACCAAAGGGTATCGGGTTTGATTCTGGTCAAGGGCACATACCTTGATTGGCTCCTCCCTGGCCCAGGCCCTGGTCAAGGCAGGTGCAGGAGGCAACCAATCAACGTGTTTCTCTCACATCGATACTTCTCTTTTTCCTCTCTATTCCACTCTCTCTAAAAAATCAATGGAAAAATATCCTCGGGTGAGGATAATTGGTTTCAATAAAAATTGCTATCTATCATTATCACTGTTGGCTGTACTGTCCAAAATCCTATACCTACTATCTTTTAATATACCTTTTCTAGTTTTTCTCTCATAGAATTCTGTTAACTCTTAAAATCAGATGGTGTCTGTAGAAGACTTAAGTTTACAACTGCAATCTATATAAACATTTTAAAATGTACCAATGAGAAAATTATGTAATTACAAAATCTCCACTTGTGCACTTGAATTCATAAAATAACATACTGCCCACCCAAAACCTCATTCTTCCAAAAATAAAATATAAAATACTGTATATACTTTTAAAAAAGGATATGTAAAATATCATTAAAGGATCATGTCTGATAAGTAAATAATACACTAGCTTAAATTTAGCAAATGCTTACTCTGTTTGCACTTTTCTAAAATGAAAAAAAAGAAATCAACATTTATTTCAGTTATTTTTAATGGAAAATCTCTTTAAATATATTCATATCAAAATTTAATGTTTAAAATATTGCTTAGTATAACTGTTCTATCTTCAACAATGAAAAAATTAAAGGGACAATTTGTCTCTACTGTGTTAAAAATCTAATCTTGTGAAGAGAATGTACTATAATTAAACGTTATCAGAATAAACAAAAGATTATAAAAAGCTTATTCTTCGCTGATATATCATTACCTGCCTGAGATTACTTCAGGTGCTGCATAATTTGGAGATCCACAACTAGTTCGCAGAAATTCACCATCTGACATCATATTAGATAATCCTGAAAGTAAGAGTAATGTTTACCTGGTGCTAGATATTTCTAACAGTAGAGATAGGTGCATGAGGAAAATGTCAAGTCTTTAATGCCCATACATCTTTTTTTTTTTTTAAATTATTATAAAAAGGAATGGAAAGCATTTGTTTGTTATGGACACCATTTCAGAGTGCTGTTACACTATTACAAAAAAGCTAAAACATCACACATATGATTGGAATAAAATTCCTTTTGTAAATAAAAATATTGATTCACTTTATAAATATAAGGTTATTCTAAAATTATATGGACTTTTCCAAACATAAAATTACCATCATATTATTTACCCACTTCTACAGTTGAAAGAATAAAATAGAGACTATGCTTTCAAAAGCCTTTTTTTTTTTTTTTTAATCTCTAGGTAGAAATCAGACCATCTCAGTTGAATAAAGATTAATGTTCCAAAAGTTTTTAATCTAGAAAATTTTCAATTAAAAATAGAAAAAAAATAATCAATTGAACCAAACATCTAGTTGAACTATAATACTAAATGAATTTTGTAATTTAGAGAAGGAAGGGAAATAAGGAGACTAGTTTCCTGGGTTTTAGATTAAAGACAAGCTACTGACAACATTTTTAAAACAAGCAGTGCTGACCTCTGGCACCCTTCCATCTCTCTTTCTATAATCTCTTACTTCCTAACCCTTTTCCCAAAACATCCTGCACTTTAGCTTTTCCTTGCTCCTGAAAAAAACTCTTGTTTTGTCAAGTGGGAGATGTTACGGAGGCCCACTGGCACTGCCCTCCTTGATTCATAGGGACTATAAAGCTCCGGAACTGCATGGAAACTTCCATGTGCCTCCAGGTAAGTGTATTCATCAAAGTGTCCCTATTTTCAAAGGAGCTTGTGACCGCTCCCCCCTCTCCCACCCACACACATACATAAAAAAACACTTCAGGTTCCTTAGGATGAAATGCAGATTCTACCCTTCTAACGTCTCTAAAAGTATTTAATATCTGCTGCACAGAAATCAGGAGGGTGAGTGCATGAGTGGGGTGGTGAGGGGCAGTGGGGGAATAAGGAGACATATGTAATACATTAATCAATAAAGTTTTTAAAAAGTTTTTAATAAAATAAATAAATTTTAAAAAAGTATCTGCTGCATTTTTAAAATTTTATTTATTTTTACATATTGAATTTATTGGGGGTGACACTTGTTAATAAAATTATATAGGTTTCAGGTATACAATTCTAAAATCATCTGTATATTGTATGGTGTGTTCACCACCCCAAGTCTTTCTTTCACCATTTCTCCCCTCTTTACCCTCTTCTCCTTCCCCCCACTCCTCTTTCCTTCTGGTAATCACCATATTGTTCTCTATGTCTATGAGGTTGTGTGTTTTTCTGCATTTTTTAAAAGCATGTTTAAATAAACAGACCAAGCAAGCTACTGTGGAGGCTATACAACTAATCCCTTTTCATAGCACAGGGCTTTACAATGTTGAAATTGAAAGTTCCTAGGTCTTTAAGAATTGTTACTGACATTTCTGAACAACCCTGGAGTCACATACCAAAATCAGCTATCTTGGCATTCATGTGTGCATCCAACAGCACATTCTCTGGTTTCAGGTCTCGGTGCACAACCATATGCCTATGACAGTAATCCACCGCAGACAGGATCTGCTGAAAGAGCCGCCTGGCTTCCATTTCTTCAACCTATCAATGTTAAAGAAGCTGCACTAGAAATATCTGGGACATCTATACAGCAAGAGTTTCAGTTTCATACTCAGCCTAAATATAACTGAGTTAAGCTCATTCGGTTCTGTTGGAATATTCAACAAATCAGACAAAGAAACCAAAAACTTGCATTAACTCTCAACATGTCAATCAACAGGTTTTTCTTTGCTACTATGGAGTAATATTTCATTTTCAAGCTATGCAGTAATATTTCATTTTCAAGTAATATTACTCAATTTGCACAAGTTATGGGGAATCAGCAAGGTAAACAATCTAAACTGAACTTACGTGAAAGTGCTAAGGCAGAAAATAACTGATGCTTCAACTTGATGTATGAAAGAGATTTTTCATTTTGAAAAGCATAGGCATCATGTTGGCAATTAAATGGTACTTATTTCCTAAAATCCATATTTCAAAAGGTGTACTTTTTAAGAAAGAAGATATGTCTAATAGTCTCTATGTTTAGTTGAGCATTATTACAAAAATAATCCAACTTTAAAAAATATCTTTGTGGTTTGCTATTTCCCACTATTGCCCTCTTTTTTAACTTAGGAATTTATTGCACTACATAGTGTTACTCACCCGTCCATGTTTACAGATGTAGTCAAATAATTCACCACCGGATACATATTCCATTACCATAAAAAAATCTGTTGGAGTGCTGATTACCTGGTATCTTTTTGTAAATTAAAAAAAAAAAAAGTTAATAAAAAATATTACTTTAACCAAAAATCAACCTGTACATCTATTCTTGCTACAATTTTATATTCCAATGTTTTATAATATTTTAAGATGGCAACAGATTTACAATGTTATCAAAATAATCAAAGAACTATAAACATAGAGCTTAACAAAATTCAACTAACTTTCAAGACCTATGGACTTTCTTCCAGGTCCTCCCTTTCATGTTTAGAAAATATTTAAAATCCTTTAATCTGCAACAACTGAGTTAAGCATTAATTTTTCCACTTAAACAAAAATATGTTTATAGTCTATAGAAATCAGGTATCATAAGCAAAAAGTATTCTTGGAAAGGTTAAATGACACCACAGGGATAAAATCAACAAAATCCAGAAAATGGACAAATGTCCCTTTATTCAGCATTAAAAGAAAAAGATAAAGCTATAGATTAAAAATAACTCAAGAAACATATTGACTAAAGAGACATATTGATAATTACCCTATATACACTTCTTTTGATTCTGATTCAAACAAACCAATTTTAAAAGTCATTTATGAAACAATCAATAAAGTCTGACCACTAGCTGAATGGCTGTTGATATTAGCTTTTTAGGTATTATAATAAATTGTTTTTAAGTTATAAAAGTAAAAAAGGCTTTATGTCCCAGAGTAAATAAATACTAAAGAAATTGAAGGTTAAAAACATATTATTGGGATTTGCTCAAAATAATTTAGGATGGGAGAAGTGGGAAGCAGCAGATAAAACACTACACTAACAACTGCTGAAGCTGAATAAGAGTTACATGAGGCTTCAACACTTTACTTTGTATACTTTAAAATTTTTCCGTAATAAAATTTAAATAGATGTATGCATTTGTGCATGAAACTTTATTATTTATTTATTGGCACTCAAAGCTGAGCACATTTTAAAAAATAATAAAAAACTTTAGCTCTATTTGACAAAAATAAAATTTTTTCCTGAAAACTACAACTCCCACCACCCACCACCCACACAATTTTACAAAAGTGAAAGCAAATAAAATATAACATTGACGTTTTAACTGATGGTACATTTAACACATTTAATATAAAGAAACAATTGTTCTACTTTTTAAAGAGGTTTGCTTTGTTTGTGAAGGATTATCTATAATCTGGTTAATCATGAGCAACATCTAATTTACAATGAGTTACTATTTAAGGCTACTAAGTAGAGTGGTATAGTTTTTGCAAGGCTTAAAGGCACCAAGTGGAAAGCATAAGCAGGAGCTGAAAAGAGGCTCAGATGCCACCCTTTAAGCAGGACACCTTGACACAGGATGTGGAGGAAGCAGGGAAACCTTCTAGTAATTAGTCCACCCAAATGGAGCACCTTTTATTAAAGTGGTTCTGGTTACTATTCCCTGTTAAAGAGGGAGGGGAAATGGCCAGGAAGTTGATGATCTAACTACATACTATACATTTTAAGAAAGGACACATCATATATAAACACTTGGAAAAAGCAAAATATTAAAGCTATAGTATTAAAAATGACAGGTTTTTACAATAAATATTTCATCTTTGGGATAAAAAATTAGAAAGTATCCCACTTTATATAAAATAAACTAGTATGACTGAGGAATGATGTTGAGACTATTTCAAATGAGCTATGGAAAGGAAATTTCACCAAGAATTCTAGAAGCCATCCTATAGCAGTAAAAGCCACTTATGAAAGTCATCCTAGCAAGCACCAAACTCTAGTTGAATAAAACAAATAATATAGAGCAGAAGCATCTACTATATCACTTTGCTGTAGGCCAGTGTTTCCCAAAGTGTGGTAAGTGTACCCCTAGGGGTACACGAAGAGTTTGGTGAGGGTACATGTTGCACCGGAGTTTGGTGGGGATATGCACTGCACAGTGCTTAGCTGTGCCTAATTCTATGTTCTCATGAGTACGAGGGGTACTCAGCGTTATGAAAATTATAGAAGGGGTACACATATGTCAAAAGTTTGGGAAACACTGTGGCTAATCTGATTTATTAACAGAATTCTCAATCACTTTTCTGTTCTGTAAATCTGAAAAGAAGGCATATAATTCTAACAAATTTAACTGCTAATTCCTCCAACTATATCACAAGATCTTTAATATATACTTTTGGATTTAACTATTTTATGAAACCTCTAACTCTACAGCAGTCACTTTCCACACCAAAGGCCAATCTAGAGCAACAGAAACCACAGCTATCATTATTGAGCACTTACTGTGTGCCAGACTAATGGCCACACTTAAAGTTTACTGAGTACCTACCATCAGTTGAATAAAATAAAGACTAAAAGAAGCAGACAGGCAAAAGCATCTCTACTAAATTAGAAAGTATTGATCTTTCAATCAGTTAAAGTTTCTCTAACAACTATGGAGGAAAGAAAAACACAGACAAAAATTAATCCAACAAATTCTAGTTCATGGAAAAGTTTGAAGTTTCCTTTCAATCCTGTTTACTCCTCTGAATTTTCTCCAAGTGATTATTCCCCTTACCTCCAATTGAGTTAATGGAGAAACTTTATTCTTGGCATTTAGTTTTCAAACTTTCTTCCTAATTCTAGAGGCCCCTTCAGTAACAAGGAAACTATTCTTGGCAGCTAGTCCAAAACTACACAAAACAAACAAAACTACTAAAAGGATCAGGTCTCTCTCCTTGTTTACATCACTAACATTATTAGAGGTTAACTCAATAACATGTTCTGTAGCAAGAATATATGAGAGTACTTTTTTTCTTTTTTAATTCATATCCATAATTAAGAGGCAATATAGCTGAATGGATTAATAAGCTCAAGGCAAGAAGCCAGAAGCTTTAAATTTCAAATTCAACTCTGCCAATTCTGAGAACAATCTATAACTCCTGCAACAAAACAAAATACCAAACAATTAAATAACTCTAAATCAGAATAAGATAGTCAAACCAACATTAAATACTTATAAATAATTACAAAAACTGAGGTAAGAAAACACTGGAAGATATGCCAGCAAAAATAAATCCTCGTGACCACTGACTGCAACTGCTTACTGACAAAATCTGAAAAGGCAAAATTTCCTGTGGGTCTTTCAGGGCTGTTGGCATTCTAAGTCACACGGTCAAGAAATAAGACAAATACAGAGATTGCTCTCCTTTCTCCACTCTCACTTTGGCAAGTGATACTTTTAGTCTGGCTTCCTAGCTCTTTCCTCTAATAGAAAGTAGCTACTCAGCAAGGAAGAACGAAGAGATATCAGTAACTAGAATAAAGTTATTATTAACATAGAGTCAAAAGTACAAATGCACTAATTCAGTTAGCTGAAAACCACTCAGAATCATGAAAGAGAACTGGAATCAGCTCATAGGTTGCCAACTCCTGCTTTGGGCCAGTGCACATTAAACACTAAGCATTATACCATTTAATCCTCAACACCATGAGGTATCCTATTTTAAAGTTAAGAAAACTAACAGTGGGAGAGCTGAGTCACTGGGCTCACAGGTTGTATTTTAATTCTTAGGATAATCTTTAAATCCTGTATATACATATTCTGGATCACCTAGAACATAGGTCCTGGAGGATAACCTTATAATCAAGTACTGCCATGCAATTTCAGGAGCCTCATTTCTTATTTATATTTATGATCGAGTGAGCGCCAAGTGAAGATCAAATAACACTGAAGCTTACTGTTGAACTGAAGTTTCCACGGTAGTGGTTGGGAACTGAGTCAACACAAGTTACCCAATGGCACTCCAAACCAAGAAAAGCCTTCTCTAAACAGTCAGCAGCATGCTCATATTATTGGTGAGATGCACTGAATGAGCCCCCATCACTGAATTTAACTCGTGATAGTAAAGACTAAATGCATGTATTGTCAGAGAGATTTTAAGATGGGTCTAGTTAATTTTTCAATTATTTATCTTTCAATGTAATTAATTAGCTTATTTATTAATCTGTAATATATGATTATTTTTTAAGTTTGTAATGTGTTTTATGCCCCCCCAAAAAATTTCACGTGCTTCCCCAAAGAGCTTTACTATCAATATTTAAAATAGTATTGTTGTTTTGCAAATAATATATGGGTGGATAACCTTTAACAGTTACTTTCTACCTTTTCCAAAAAGAAAATACCCAGATACATTCATGAAAATTGATTAGTAAAAATTACACAATGAATCTAGAAATACCAAAGTCCTAAAAGAATTTGAAAATGAATACTAGAAATGAGTCAATTTACAAGGCTACACTCAATTCTTGAAACCAGTACCAATTTTGAAACAATAATTTTTAATTCTAAACCAAAGTATGCAAAAAAACAAAAAAATAATAGAGCTTAAATAAATTAATACTTGCTCAATATAAATATGAAGTGTTTTTATAAAAGATTAAAGACAACTATTTATAAATTCATAAATAGTATTTCAAGACAGTTTCTCTTTTGTTTAATTGGGTACAAAAATACTAAGTTTAAAAAGTACTTACAGTTTGATAATATGAGGATGACGAAAAAGTTTTAGATTTTGAATTTCCCGCTTTATTTTTCCAACAACATCTAAACTGCGAATCTTCTGTCTATTTAGGATTTTAACTGCCACTTTATGACCTGTCAACTGATGTTCTCCAACTAAAAATAAAGAAAAAAACCTGCTGATCATACAGTCATATAGTATACCATTTTATATCATGTACTGCAAAGAACAGATGTTCTCCTTTTTCACTTTCATTCCTTCTAGTAGACATGTCAATTTCAGGGACTTTCTACTCTATTCAACTAAGATAACAAAACTAGAGACCCGGTGCATGGATTTGTGCACCAGCAGGGTCCCTGGGCCTGGCCTGTGGGGATAGGGCCAAAACCGGCTCTCCAACATCCCCTGAGGGGTCTGGATTGGAAGAGGGCAGTTCTTGAGTGACGCACCCCAGAATCAGGCTCCCTCCTCTCTGGTTCCAGGTGCATCATCCAAGAACTGCAGTTGTCAAGTCACTGCAGCTCAGCAGCTCCTGTGTTGAGCATCTTCCCCCTGGTGGTCAGTGCATGTCATAGCTACCGATAGAAGCATCTGCCCCCTGGTGTTCACTGCATGTCATAGCTACTGGTCAGATGGTCAGGTGGTCACTAAGGCTTTTATATTTATAGATGGTTTGAGGTTGCCTGGATTGTTTATTCTTAACCTTTGGAAACTTTATAATATTCAAACATTTGCCTGGGTGGCTTAACATATATCTGTCTCCACAAATCTTGATAGCATCAGTAAAAGTAACCAGTGCTTCAATCTCCTCATCTGTACAACAGGGAAGAAAAGTTTAATTATTCCATTCCTATTTGATAATTAAAATTAATGTTTACTTGAGAATATATGTGGTCTTTCCAGATCAAAGAAAGACTCTTAACAACCAAATGTATAGGTGTTTTGTTTTTTAAGGCCATATGCTTAAACTGAAAAACGAGGAAACCAAAAAGTGAATGACTGCACTCAAAAAATAATAAAATACTAAAGACTTAGTACTTTGTCAACAAATTTGATAAAGTTGCAGGACACAAAGTCAATTTACAGCTGCATTTCTAGATGCTAATAATAAACTATCAGAAGAAGAAATTAAGAAAAAAAATCCCATTCACAACTGCATCAAAAATAAAATACTTAAGAATAAATTTAATCAAGGAGAAGAAGAGCTATACATTGAAAGCTATAAAACATTGGTAAAAAATGAAAACAACAAATAAATGGAAAGATTAATATTGTGAAAATACCCAGTGGAACCTGCAGATTTAATGCAATCCTTATCAGTGGCATTTTTCACTAAAATAGAAGGGAAAAAAAGCCTAAAATTTGTATGGAACCACAAAAGACTCTGAATAGTCAAAGCAATCTTGAGAAAGAAGAACAAGATTGGAAGAATTTTACTTCCTGATTTCAAACAATATTATAAATATAGTAGTCAAAACAGTTTGGTACTGCATAAAAATAGCCACATAAATCAATGAAATAGAAACCCTAGAAATAAACCCATGCATATATAGTATTTAATTTATGACAAAGGAGTAAAAACAATACCATAGGGAAAGGACAGTCTTTTCAACACATTGTGCTGTGAAAACTGGACAGCTACACACAGAAGAATTAAACACATCAAACACATTACACAAAAACCAACTCAAAATAGATTAAAAACTTAAATTTAAGACCCAAAACTATAAAAGGACTAGAAGAAAATGGAGGGGATAAACTTCTTGACATTAGTCTTAGCAATGTTTTGTGTATTTTTTTTTTAATTTGATAACAAAAGCAAAGGCAACAAAAGCAAAAATAAACAAGAGGGAATAAATTACAGAACCACACAGCAAATGAACCACACAATAAAAAGACAACCCAACTAATGAATGTGAGAAGGTGTCTGCAAATTACATATCTGATAAGGAACTACAAATTCACACAGGTCAATAGCAAAATACAAATTCCATTAAAAAATGAGCAAAGAAACTGAAAAAACATTTTTCCTTAGAAGACATACAAATGCTCAACATATACATGAAAAGGTGCTCAACATCACTAACCATTATGGAAATGCAACTAAAAACCACAGTGATATTACCTCAGATCTGTTCAAATAGCTATCATCAAAAAGACATTTAAAGGATGTGGCAAAAAGGGAAGCCTCATACACTATTGGTTGGGGTGTAAACTGGTAGAGCCACTGTGAAAAAAATAGAATGGAAGTTTCTAAAAAATTAAAAACAGATGTAACTAACATATGATCCAACAATCCTAATTCTGGGTGGCTACTGAAAAGAAATGAAAACAGGATATATATAAAAAAAAAATGCACTCCCATATTCATTGCAGCATTATTCACAATGCCCAAAATATGGGTACTATCCAAGTGTCCTGTCCATCAGGAATAAATGAATAAAAATGATGAGGTATGTATATATACAATGGATAATTATTTAGTCATAAGAAAGAAGGAAATCCTGTTTGCAACAATATGGATGGACCTTGAGGGCATTATACTAAGTGAGATAAGCCAGATACAGACAAATACCACATGTTATCACTTATATTATATGTGGAATCTAAAAAAAACAGTTGAACTTAAAGAGTCAAAAAGTGGTTGCCAAGGGATCTGGGGTGGGGAAATAGGGAAAATTTGGTAAAAACACAAAAACTGTCAGCTATAAGATAAATAAGATCTAATGAAAAACATGGTGAATACAATTGATAACACTGTATTATATAATTAAAATTTGCTAAGAGAGAACTAAAATGTTCTCACAAAAATATGTATATAAATATGTGAGGTGATGGGTGTGTTAATTAACTAGTTGGAAGGATCCTTTCACGATGTATACATATATCAACTAATCATAATGTACATTTTAGATATCTTATTATTTTATCAATTATACCAAAAAAAACCACTAAAATTAAAAAAAATATATTAAGGTATAAATTGTCTATGGCACTTGAGGAAATAAGTGATTCACTTACCTTTATACCTAAAGAAATTTTCCCCATGACATCATGTAAAAGAAACAGTTAAGTACACTGATAAGCTAACTGGATATCTATTTTTTATTTTTTATTTTTTATTTTTTTTAATTGATTTTGTACAGAGAGGAAGGGAGAGAGATAGAGAAAAACATCGATGTGAGAGAGTCATCGATCAGCTGCCTCTTGCACACCCCCTACTGGGGATATGCCCGCAACCAAGGTACATGCCCTTGACCGGAATCATCCCCAAGCCGATGCTCTATCCATTGAGCCAAACCGGTTTCGGCTAACTGGATATCTAATGTCAAATATCAAGTGGATTAAGACTATTACCTCATTTTGCTGAACTATACTAGCCTCTATTGCTTTATAACTTAAGTGACTTAGAACATAGCTATAATTAAATCCATATAGTTGTCTCATCTCATAATCACATTCCACCTGACACCCAACGAATATTCCTAAAAATCTTGTAATATAGATGTAATAAAACTAAGACTTTCTTCTATGTGTATTACAGCCATTAACTTTTCTAGGATATTAAATTAAATAAAAAGCTTGCATTTATCAAAGTTTTATTCCCATTTATTTATTCAATCTAAAAACATTTTACTGAGCACCTGGACTGTGTTGATCAAAGACATAAAAGAGAGGTTTACTGTGTGTATGTGTTTGGTGAGGGGAACATAAGCAATACAGAAACTAAAATAAGTTTTATATGGTGTTATATCTGTCTGAAGACTGTCAGGGATACCCTATTTGTGAAGGGAGCACACAGATAAGAATGAACATTAAAAAACACCAAAATGCATCCTTCTTTTTTATAGCTGCACTAGAGGCCCAGTGCACAAAATTTATGCACTTGGGGTTGGGGGGAGCCTCAGCCGGACCTGCGCCCTCTCGCAGTCTAGGGATTGCGAGGATGTACGAATGCTGTGGAAGTGGGAGATATTCCCACCACTGCTGCTGCGCTTGCCAGCCATGAGCCTGGCTTCTGACTGAGCAGCATCCTCCCTGTGGAAGCGCACTGACCACAAAGGGGCAGCTCCTGTGTTGAGCATCTGACCCCTGGTGGTCAGAGCACATATAGTGACTAGTCGTTTCACAGTTAGGTCTATTTGCATATTAGCCTTTTATTATATAGGATAGTATTCCATGGTGTAAATGTACCACAGGTTTTTTATTCCTTCATCTATCCTCATGGCCACTTAGGCTGGCTATTCCCAAAACCTAGCTACTGTAAGTAATGAAACTCATTTATATTATAAGTAAAGACTGTATCCTAATATCTCTTGTATGAACATCAGGGTGCATATTCTAACTGGTATTTCAGGCTTCTTAGGATATACCCTTTGAGATAACATGGAGGGACTGGAAATTATTGTGCTAAGCAAAATAAACCAATCAGAAAAAGACAAATAACATATAATCTCATTCATATGTGGGATCTAATGAACAAAATAACCTGACAAACAAAATCGATCCTGAGGCATGGAAGCATGCAACTAATAAATCTCAGAGGGATGGGTGGAGTAGGGGAGAGCATGAAGAGAATAACCAAAAAACTTATATGCATAGCCCATGGACACAAACAATAGTGGGGCGATGGCCTGGGGAGGAGTTAGGAGAAGGGAGTCAATGGGACAATGGGAGGGGACAACATCTATAATACTTTTAACAATAATATTTTTTTAATTATCTTAAAAGATACACCAAGATGGACTAATTTTTCCATAATATAAAATGTATGTAAGTTAATATTCAGATTGATATCTATTCTGACAGGAGCACTAAGGAACATACACCCACGAAACAACAATTGCATGAATGCCTACTGTGATAAGCACTATTAGGCACCTGGGATTAAGTAGTGAACAAAGCATTTCTGTTAGACTGCTAGCTGTCCCATTATCTATTCCATCCTTCTTTTCAAGACATGAGAATTCCAAATCACACCTGAGCACACCTCACGGTTATCCAGAGTAAAGACTGCATCCAAGCATCTCTTGTAACTAGATGTGGCTATGTGACTTTGTAAGCAGAAATGACCCTAACAGCTTCTTCATCCCTTCCTCCATTCTGAAGCCTAGAATTCCATAGCCACCATCTTATACCTAGAAGACAAGATTAA